AGAATTCCTTGTGAGGATAAAGCCCTAACCACCCAGAGCCAAAGAGAGTTAGGCATCACTTAAGTCTTCTTGTCTGTGTGATCTGAAGACTTATTACACTTGAGGACTGTGAATCCTCCAGCCGGTTAGGCGTCGCGTTCTGAGCATCCAAGAGACATTGTGGATTGCCGGTGAACGAAGTCTGTGAAGGTTTGGGAGTCTACCTTGAAGACTTACCAGAGTGATTGGGCGAGGTCTGTGTGACCTTAGCTCAAGGGGAATACGGTGAGGACTGGGTGTCCTGAGCTGCGTGTTCAGGACTGGGTGTCCGGGACTGTGTGTCCTCAGGTTTAAATACCTAGCCGCCCTAACCAGACGTACATTTGTCACAGCAACTGGAACTGGTCCAACAAATCATTGTCTTCAACGAGTCATTGGTTTCATCCTTCCCTTCCCTTTACTTACTGTTGGTCCTTGTGAAGTCATTGTATGATTGCACTATCTTTTGTCTTTACTGAGTGACTGCGTATTCTGTTTGGCTTCATAATATCTTCCTACCTGATCCTTACTACATTGCTGCTATTAGTCATTGTGCTTTCACTCCATTGAATACTTGACTATGGTTTGCTTAGTGTAGTCTACCTTCCACTGCATGGTAATAGGTTTATTTCTATCATTTGTCTTCATAACTTCCACATTTTGAAGACTTCCATAAAAATCGCCTATTCACCCCCCCCCCCTCTAGTCGATATAACGCACTTTCAACAACAAGTATTGCACTGCTTCACAAAATTTCCACATATGTTTTCATACCAGTCCAACTAAATAATTGCTTCACTCTGTGGTAAGTAGGAAGTATGCCAGTGTGTCCTCCCACTGGTGATGAATGAAAAGCCTGGATGAGCTTTGTTTGCAGACCTGCATTTGCTCCAATCCAAATTTTATCCTCATGTTTAATTAGCCCCTCTTGCAAATGAAATCCAAGACAAGCTTTGTTATCCACTGCTAGCTTCTGCAACATCTACTATGCAGCAGGATCAACTGTATAGGAATTCAACACTTCTTGTATCCAGACAGGCTTGCTTGTAGACATTGCTTGGAGAGGAAATAAATGAGCCACTCTGGAAAGTGCATCTGCTGCAGTATTTTCCACTCCTTTTTTGTACTAGATAGTGAATTGCAGTCCTACCAGTATTGTCATGGCTTTTCTCTGCAAGTCTGAAGTGAGAAGTTGATCCCCTAAGTGACAGAGGCTTTGGTGGTCTGTTTTGATGACAAAAGGTGCTCTGGCCAGGTAAGATCTCCACATGTCTATGGCCATCATGATTGCCAGAAATTCTTTCTCATAAATGCACGGTTTCTGACTAGCTACTCCAAGTGCCTTGCTATAGTAAGCAATGGGATGCCGCTCCTGAGCAAGAACATCTCCCACTCCAGTATTACAAGCATCTGTCTCCACAGTGAAGGTTTTTGCAAAGTTTGGTAAAGCTAGAACAGGAGTTGTGGCCATGGCCTGTTTCAACTGCTGAAAAGCTGCTTGAGCTGTGTCAGACCACTGAAAAGCTTGTTTCTTCAATAAAACAGTGAGAGGCCTAGCCAACAGACCATAGTTCCTCACAAACTTTCTGTAGTAACCTGTTAGCCCTAAAAATCCTCTCAACTCAGTAACATTAGTTGGTACAGGCCAATTAACCATAGCTTCTATTTTTGCAGGATCAGTAGCTACTCCTTTGTCAGAAATAATGTGGCCCAAATATTCCATGGACTGCTGAGCAAAAACACACTTACTCTGTTTCACATATAGCTGATTTTGTGCCAGAATTTCAAACACAGACCTCAGGTGTTGAATATGATCTTCCAGTGTGAAGCTGAATACTAGGATGTCATCCATGAATACTAACACAAACTTTCTGTTAGGCCCTGCCATAAACACATTCATATTGCACTAGAATGTGCCTGGAGCAGTAACCGGTCCAAAAGGAACTACCCTGAATTGGAACTAGCCATGGTGTGTCTTAAATGCTGTCTTATGCTCATCTTCTTCTTTCATTCGAATATGATGATACCCAGCCTTTAAATCTAGTTTTGAGAACCACTTAGCACCGCCTAATTCATCTAGTAACTCATCAATCACTGGTAGAGGAAACTTGCTTTTAATGGCGATATCATTCAACTTTCTGTAATCCACACAGAACCTCCAAGTGCCATCTTTCTTCTTTACCATGAGAACAGGAGAAGCAAAATGACTAATGCTTGGTGTGATCAAACCAGCTTTTAGCATTTCAGACACTTGTCTCTCTATTTCATCTTTCTGTAGTGGAGAATATCTGTATGGCATGCAATTTACTGGAACAGACCCAGGAATGAGATGGATTTCATGATCCAGTGGTCTGTGAGGGGGCAAAGTCTGAGGATCTTTGAACACAGTGTGATGTTATTGTAGTAATTCTTGTACAGTAGGAGGAACTGGAGTTCCAGGTGCCATCACAATTCTGTTTAACACAGCAGTTGCCCAAACTTCATTGCCTTTTTCCCATTTTAACAGTTGTTCAGCGGTGACTTCCGTAATCTCTGTTGGTTTTGCAGGTAACACACTCTGTAACTTCACCTCTTGTCCTGAATATTTGAACTGAACCCATTTTTCTGCCCAGTGACATTGCATCACTCCCCATTGTTCTAGCCAGTCCATGCCCAAAATGATGTCATGTCCCCCAAGAGGAAGCACATGCATTGCATTTGTGAAGTTATAACCTTGAATCCACCAGGTTAACTGAGAAACTTTTTTCAGAACATTGTACTAGTTCTCCATTTGCCACTTTTACCTGCATAAGCCTATTCAAGTTCTCCACCTTAACATTTATCCTGTTGAGCAGTGCTTGATCCACAAAAGTGTGGGTGCTCCCTGAGTCCACTAATATGAGCACCACTTAATTCCCCACCAAGGCTCTCAGTTGTATGGTTTTTGGGTGAGTTGCACCTGACAAGGCAGTAACTGAAATAGTAGCACAATCTGTTGTAGACTGCTCAACGAGAGCATCCAAAAGGGCATCAGAAATTATCTCACTCTGCACCGTTGTTTCTGCTGTTTTCGGTTGAGCCCCAGTCACAGGCAACTGACTGCAAACATGCCCCAGAGTGAATTTCTCTCCACATTTATAACACAGGCTGTTAGCTCGTCGATATTCTTTCAACTGTTTTGCCTTCCACAGATCACCAGTAGCCAACGCCGGCCGAGTGTCAGATTTGGTAAAAGCAGTCTTCTGGTAAGATCCTCTGACTGCCTTCTGCTGCAGTAACAGTCCTTCCTGAACCGAAGCATACATCGCTGCCATGTGGACATTTGTTGGTATCTGAAACTCCACAGCTGATCGTAACTCTGGTTTGAGCCCCATAATGAAACGAGTTACCAGGAAAGTATCACTGATTGACGGTTCATACAACTTGATGGTGTAGACCGGCTGAAGAAACTTCTACTTGTACTCCTCCACTGTTTTCTCCTGTTTGAGCGACATGAGGTCCTTCATCTTCTGTCTGTAAACATTCACATCGAACTCCTGTATTACCGTTGCACAAAACTGCGGCCAAGTGTGATATGCGCTATTTTGTTTAAAGGCCTGATACCAACTTGCAGCGTTATCAGTCAGATACAGGGAGGCGGAGGTGACCTTGAAATTGCCAGGTATGCTATATAACTTGTAGAACGCCTCGCACTTATCTAACCAGATCCTGACATCACTTCCATCAAAACGGGGAAAATCCATTTTGGGCAACCACGGCCTCTTGCCTGAATTTTCCTTCTGAACTGACTGCACAACTTGTTGGGACAGAGAGGTATTGGGCGGTACCTAGACAGGACAAGGCAGCCCCTGAGCAACAAACGATGGCCCTGGGCCCAGAATGTCGTCTGACAGTTCCGACGCTGTCGGCGAGGAGGTCTCCGGTACCTCTGGTGGTTTCCCCTTCTAAGCGACATGTAATTGGCTTTGCTGAACCTGCCCCAAGGTGCCGCAGGACAAATCCACGTTCACTTGGACTTGGTCAAGCCGCGCCGTTTGCTCCGTAAGCTTGGTGTCGAGCGCCGCCAGCTGTGCGCAGATCCCGTCGACCACCTCCAGCTTGCGTCGCACCGCCCTGATCTCGGCGAACTCCTTCAGCATGCGCTCTTGGAACGCCTCCATCTCGTCCGCGATGAAGCGCGACTGCGGATTAGGCTTGAATGTCGTTGTTGTGGCCGATTAATCCCAAATCAACCCACCTCAAGTCAGGATTTACACAGATCAAGCCCGCAGGCGATCCGCTACCGTCGCCTCGGATTTGCCGGGTATGATTCAAAAAAAAAATCAACGCACGGCAGAGCGAGGAGGTGGCTCTGATACCAGATTGTCACGACTTAAGGGAGGTAGGAGTTCGCCGGCGGCGAGGGAGGGTAGAAGAGATCTTAGGGAGTGAGCGAGAGAGATGAGAAGCTAGGAGAAGGCAGCGAGAGGAGGAAGAGGAGCCTGTGGCTCAGAATATTTCATTTCAAGTCCTCGATGCCTATCCACAACGAGACGCCTCGCTTATATACTCGCGAGTGCCACTCGAACTCATACGGCCCACGGCCCACTCGATTACAAGGCTCACGGCCCCCAAGCACACACTTGAATTCAAACACTCCCGCAACTACTTTACGCCTTCTTCGCGCCTTCTTTACATCTCCCTTGTCTTGCCCGCACCTTTGGCACCTCCAGAGTACTGACACAATCTTCGGGTCTACAAATCATCAAGCACTAACAAATTAAAACCCCAGGAGAATACATCCAGCAGGACGGTTGCAGCAAGTCTGGCAAGTCCTTTGTCAGGTATAACGATTCGCTTAGGATGACAATTAACAATCAGGATGACAATTAACAATCGATACATGCAAGGTACAATATGTCGGCAGCAAACAGAATGGGGCTACCATCAGCAAGAGTAATCATTTTTCCTTCAACATACCAGCACGAGTCTTGCAGACAATCTCGAAAAAGAGCAAGATGGTTTCAAGAAAAGAAAAACACAGGATAGGCTGGACATCTTGTTTTCAGTCTCGTATACAACATATACAGGCTCGGAAATGATACATACACAACAAAACCAGCGACTCTGGCTTCAACTCTGCAGTAAGAAGAAAAAACTTATCACAGTGGAGCTTCGGGATCTGGATTCTCTCCTAACTAACAAGACTGGGGAAATTGCAAGACTACTCCGCCGATCAATGTAACAGAGAAAATTGCTAGAATTCTCCACCGATCAGTGTTCTGATACAAAAGAGACATATTCCATTGCAAAAAGGGGATTATTCGCCACGTAAATTTACTACAGGAGATATTTGATGTGGTTGGTGCTGCAAGCGAAAGGCTGGAGCTCCACCATAAGTTCGTCTTGGTATAGTAAATAGCACACTGTTGCTGTTGCTATGAACCTCAGAAACTTTCAGGACTCAGAGCGATCTGCTGGCTTAGCAGGGACAGAAAGTTCGTCCTTCAACATAAAAGAGAGATCATGCATCTGAGACATCAATTTCTCCACATTTGCATTGCCAGCTTCTGATTTTGGTCTGGAGTTACTGTCATGACTTGTTGCAGGCAATGCATCAACATCACCCATCTGCTGCATTACGCCCATCCTGCACATGGTGAAAACGTGTAATATGTGATCAATCATATATCACGAACGGGATTGAGTGAGATACTAAACATTATACAACATGGCCTGCAATATATCTCACAACCAACCATTCACCTACTTCGTTCTGGCAATTGTAAGGATGAATTGACCTAAAAAAGGAGCAAAATGCAACAACAAATAGGCACGCGACTAAGGGTGCTGCTTGCTGGTCAGAAATTCAGAACCAGGTTATGAAGTGGATTATTGGTAGTGTGGCTTCAAATGGTTTACCACTGAAAAATAACACGAATTTTGAACCTATGGCTCAATGTAAACATAGAAAGAAAGCCCCAGGAAACAGGATATTCGAAAAAAAAACTAAAAACAGTTCAAAATTTTCTGAATTTAGTGGAAAGAAAAATGTGTATTCTAAATGCCACGCGTATTACGTTTTGGGCCACATTTGCGTGTATACGTGCGATACGAAGGGCCGATGCCTGCACGACCGGTTCCCATAGACATGCCACTCCAGGTTTTCTTAAGAGAAGTCGCCACTCTAGGTTCTCTTAAGAGAAGTCATGCCATTACCAAAGATGGAGAAGTCCAGGACTTGCATGCCTAGAAGAAAGATGGAGGACGGTGCCCACCAACCAAGACCCCTATATAAGGGCGTCCCCATGAAACGATTTAGGACCTTCAACCTCTTGAAAACACTAGAAGTGTAGTTTAGCATATTATTAAATCCGATCCTGATATCCCGCCAAGATCATCCATCACCATTTCTGGCGGCTTGACCCTCAACTCGCCAGATACGCGCCATTGTGCATCTCCGTTGTAATTCATATTTGATATAATCCCATGTAAGCATGAGTAGGCTTGTTACTCACCACGCGAAGGCCCGAACCTGGGTAAAACTTGTGCCCCCTGTCCATCTAGTAACCTGAGGTGACATCATACAAATCCACATACGTTCACCATATTTATGTTAAGTACATCATGAAACACCATTGACAGCTGACGCCGAAAATGGGGAACCTCGCGCTACTAGATCGGATATGCCGTATTTAGCCTATCATCAAACTTGAACTCCACTATCTTCGCCGACACAATCACCTTTTCTATCTTCACCGATATCATTGGCTCCACAGGGCGAATACATCAACCCTACTTCACACGATGAAGACAGAAACCAGGCTATGGGCGGCGGTGGGTGTGAGAGGTCTAGCATTTTGCTTCCGGCGATGGTCGCACCTAGATATTAGAGGCATCATGTCGTAATTCCCAAGTGTTGCCCTTCTTATGGCTTGTACAAACTCTTCTTTCAATCAGTGCATTGAGTAGCAAGGCTTTTACATTTTCTCGAGAGAAAAGAAGTTGCTAAGTAACTAAACATTTGTTAAAATATATCATAAGTTAGCAATGATTGGATCCAATATTCCCTGAATACTAATGTGTTTACCAAATACGAAATCAAGGCATTGCGTTCACAAAAGCTACACCTGGGCTCATCAAAGTCCAGTATGAATTGTTACCAGCACAAGTCGAACAAACAAGTTGCCTAAACCATTCTAGTAAACCTATTAGTATACATCCTTGTATTTCATATGATGGAAGCTCAGATGAAACATACCAGTGACAGTGATAGCTGCAGCGCACAAGCTTAGTTTAGACTAATCTTTACACGCAGAAACAACTAGTTGCCTACCTGTGCCGAAATTTGGGCTTTGCCATGAAAATAACAAGGAAAATGGTGCCAACCTTCTGCAAAAAACACTTACAGGGTGCCAAGCTATGATGCATAAATAAGGATCTGGGCTTGTCTAGCCTTGGTCCTCAAGTTAAAAACTACACATTTATTTGACCATTTCTATATTGCTTTAGAAGCATCAAGCATAATTAATCAAGTATACAGTAATCCCCAATCTATGAACACAAGAATATGCACTCAGCTTAAAAAATGTACACTATCACTAACCTTTCGTGTTCACCAGGTGGAGCTGCATTTGCTTCATTAGAATTATCTTGTTTATTATGTATTTGGCGTTGGGATGGAGCAGACTGTGCAAAGCTTCCAAATTCCATCCCTGTCATATCAGCCGTCAATACTGAGGGTTTACCAGACAATGGAGCACCTGGCCGACCTTGTAAGCTTGTTTCCAGCTCAGGAGAGTTTTTGAAATCTTGCCATTCATCAAATGGGTCATTATTTGCATTTATCTGCTCAAGGTTCTTAAACTGCTCTGTATGGCTTGAAGACCACAAGTCCACAGGTTCAGTTCCTGAAGGATCTTTGACGAACTGTCCTTCCACAGGAATTTTCATATTTCTCTGTGCTTGACCAAAACTAGCAAAATCTTGCCATGTATCGGGTGAGTCATGAATTCCACTAACATCTTTGCTGCAGCTGTTAGATTCCTTGATATTGCTGGTTAGCCACAAATCCATGGAGTCAATTTCTTTAGCAGGCACAGACAAGGCACCAGTCATTTCTCTCCCAAGATTAGATATGTTTTCCTGTTGGTGACGTGGTGCGGCAACATCTTGCCAAATATCAAATGTATTGTCTTCCATATTTGTTGAAACTATATTTGTAGTTTTGTTACTGCTGACATTTGCTGGTAATTGCACAGGGCCAGTTCCATCAAGCTGCTCAAATGAAATATCCATTAGTTCACCACCTGCATTATATGAACTTTGCTGTGTTTGATCTGAACCAGCAAAACCTTGCCAATCATCCAGCAATTTATTATTCCTATTCACCAAGCCAGTATTACTTGATTCCCTAGTATTTTCTGTGAACCATGAGTCCACATCTATTTCTCTGTGACTCACATGTGAAACTTCCGTCAATTTTTCAGCTTCATTGAATGAAGCAACCTGTGCTTGACCAGGGGTGGTAAAATCTTGCCAGTCATCAAAAGAATCATCAGTTTGCTCAACAATTTCTGTAGAATTATGTTCTTTGACATTACCAGCAGGCCATAAATCAACAGCATGAGCTTCTAAAGAATGTTCTAGCTCTGCAACTGGATTTCCCAAACCATCTCCTTGACCACTCGATGATCCTTCCACCAGGTTCACTGAATCTCCTTGAGCAGAACTTTGTGCAAAAGCTTGCCAATCATCAGAATCTGCAACATTGTTGGATGATTCTGTGCTTCTTATGGGCAAGGGGTCCGTTCCTTTTATTTGTGAGGAGTCGCTCACAAAAGGCCTCTCTGTATGCTCTCCGACATCTGATAGTGTGCCCTGATTTCCACCTTCTGTAAATTCTTGCCAGTCATCAAAAGCTTCATCAGTACTGACTCCGATGTCACTCCTTCCAGACAATCCACTGCTCTCAACTGAATTCTTGTTAAGGGAGGACCCGGTGAACTCAGCAACATTGTTTCCAGCAACCATCCTAACGTTAGTCTCTGCATTAGCTGGGACAGCCTTTTGAACGGAAAGGTTGTCTACATTTAATGCTGAAGCTAAATCTTCTGATTCTATGTTTGTTTGATTTCCAGCAGCTAATACCGGTCTGATGGCAGTCCCAGAAACTGGAAAATTAGAAGGCTCGGCAACTGAAGCGCTCTTAAATAGGTCCAGTTGCTTAGAGTCTCCAACAACACTCTCTGAGCCAGTAGACTGAAAGTGAGCATCCCAATTTGCAAATGCCGTAGTAGCTTCCATTTGATTTGTGCTTTGAGAACCTGTTTTTGTCCCAAAGGAATCAAAGCCTTTCGATGTAATATGCATCTCTGAGCTACTGGATTCATGACTTCTGCTATGCTTTTCCTGCACTATAGTATGAGTTGGAGGAAGAGCAGCAGCGGTGGCAGCTATCTCCTTTTTCCTTTCAATGGAAAATGAGTCCAGGTTAACACCAGGCAAATTTAGTGTGCATGCAACTGATGGTTGTTTGTTGCTTGTGGAACTTCCAGATATTTCCCTATTCTCTGGGGGGAAAGTAAGTTTTAAGTCCAGAAGATCAGATAAGACCAACCCACTCTTTGGTGTCTCCTTGCTTTTATTTGAATCCGTAGAGTCGCCATCAAATTCTACGAGAGCCTGAATGAGGGGCAAAAACAACCATCAGTTACAGATAGCACCAGGGTTAAGATTCAGATATCAGACTATGTATCCTGCATACACAGTTTAAAGACAGAAGGGAACTCTAGTGAGATCTTGGAGAGGTAAATACCAACAACAGAGATGCCTTAACTTTCATTGATCTAGACTCCACAAGATCAACCGAGTTTAATGGGAGCTCAAGCTTACTGAAACTATGCAGATTCCAGTATTACAATGGTAAGTAAGAGCCATGCTCTCGATGGCACATGCAGCACATGCTCTAGAAATGGCTTTAAATCGTCCATGTGGTGAGTGACCGAGTAAGCACCCAAACAACTACATGGTATATAGCTATATTAGTCACAATACATCTAGATAAGCATGTTGTCAGATTTACTAAAATACGAATCATACTTTAGACAGCATTTGAGATAACTAATGCATGGTTCCTAAACATTTGTGTCATTCAACATCGGGCGTGACATCAAACACTGTGTCAATTGAACCACTGTTATATGTTATAAATCTTAATAAATCTATATAGATCTAGATTTATTAACTTTGAGAAATATGTGATAAGACAGATTCGCTTAGGCCACAATGGAGATAAATCTATATCGTTTCAGCTTCTTGGTCAGAAAATATGTGCCCTAGGGCATGTATGAGGAAGCTTTGTAGGGCAGCTTCCCTGTTGCTTTTACCAAAAAAAATGAAAGGAGAGAAAATGCTTCTCCATTGGTCTAGTATAAGGCAGAACTTGTTGTAATGGTCAAGCAATCATATCTGAGAGGCATAGGCTCCTCCCTTGGACGATCTTTGGGTCTACAAATCATCAAGTGCTAAACCCCAGGTTAGTAAATACGGCAGGACCAAGACTAATTAGATACTAGACATGCATCTACTTTAGGGAACTGAAGCTGCGGAAAACAGTTTCTCAACAGCTCTCCAATTTAAGCTGCGGCTTAATAAGAAAAGCTTCTAGTTTCCAACTTGATGTAACTGAGGTTTCTCACATTCTTGAGAATATGCTGTTATAAGGTCATTGTGAAGCAGCACAAGGTTGTGGAGGAACAACTCCACCTTGCTGCTACAAAGTGTACAGCACTAGTGTTGAAGGAACTACTTCGACGTGATGCACTAGATAAGATATCGCTCTAGAGGCAAATATAGGCCGATACTGCAGCAGGAGTTCACTCCAAAACTCCTAGAACACAAGTAATAATAGAAGATCTTAGATAAGAACACCAGGTTCATAGGTAGTGGGTACATGGGCTGAGTTACAAACTAGTAGTGAGGACCTCTATTTATAGGCTTTGTGAAGCCTTCACATCTCAACTTAAACTCATAAATAGAAGATCCGAGAAAACATTACTTAAGGTTCAGCTTCTACTCGCAGCTAGAACACTCCGAAACCATTATTTAAAGGTTAAGAAAACAAACAAATAAAACAACATATGACTTAACGACCAATTTATCTAGAATGGGGTAGAAGCATCTAGAAGCTTCTGGTTTTTTTCTTTACTTTTATATATTGTACCTCATCCCATTGTTTCCAAACACATAAGGTATATATCATAAGAAGGACTATGGAACTTCTAGATCAATAATTCACCTAAAGTAATGCAGTTGTCTTCTAGGAGAGCGGAATCAAGCAAGAAATTTCCAATTAGGCTACTCAGATCACACAAAAATAAATTGCACAGAACAGGTACTAAAATCCAGTGGGAGGCTCAACCGTCGCATCATGAATAAACCGAGTTAGGGAAGGATTGCTAAGATACCGTTGCTACAGCCCTGTGAAGCAAACAGTTTTTCAATTCTATGAATTATTTTGTGGAAGAAACATGCAAAAAAGGTTACTCCTATTATATGGATCGGAGGGAGTATTAACATAAGGAATGGTTGTATTGAAAAAGAAACTGGAAATTGGTGACCTGGCAACGTTTTCCTATTAGACCATAAAATGATCAATTTCAAATGCATTCTGTACATTACACTTTCTTCACAACAACAAAAAAATATCCTACATAATAAGCTAATAACTCTGAAAAAGAGGAATTGCATTGCAGTTGAAAAGACTCAGATTTAACTACAATACGCATGTTGGAGAACATGTCCTGTGCTTGATAGTATGACATCACTTTCTTTTTAGTTATATAATCCTAGTGGCCTAGACGAGAATTTCTTTCATGACTAAATTGGGAAATCCAATTCCACAGGTCCAAGCCACATCTTCTGCTACAAACAAAGACTTGTTTGCAGTTCCTCCATTTCTCTTTTAAACTTCTAGTTCCTTCTTTGGAAGAAAAAGAAACAGCAAACGTCTCTAAACTCAAATGGCACTCGCAATTCTGCCAAATTTTCCATCTTATTACATCCACATAAAAGAAAGCCTCATTTCCATGGTTCAGCTTTATAAACAAGCATCCCATTATTTCGACTTAGTGCTTCCCTATTTCCACATGAACCCTGCCACTAGAGATCTTAAGGGAAGAGACCGAAATGCCAAATCTACGGCTTTCCACTACGAAGGAACGGCATTCCACTGGTACAACAATAACAGATCGATGGAAACAAACGAAGCCAGAAAAGGAGCTCACAGATCCATCAAGCCGGAGCGAGCCGAGGAGCCACTGGTAGGCCGCACTGCCTCGGAAGGCGATGTCATCGCCCTCCCCACGCCTAGGGGACCCGCAGTAGACGCAGACGGCGGACTGCGCGCCGCGGAGGAGGCCACCCGCCGCGCCGCAGCGCCCGCACAGGAGCTCCGGTGAGGCATCGGGGTCGAAGGCAGCGACGGCGTCGGCGACGGAGGGGAAGGGAGGGGCAGGGGGCGCGGCCGTGGTGCCCTCCCGAATGGAGGATAGGAGGCGATGGATGGTGGCGGTGGGGATCTCCATCGCCGGGCGCCGGAGGGGGTCCGATTCGTGTTGGGCAGTTCAGCCGCTCTCTCCGGTGATGAGATGGCACGTCTGGGGAAAGAAATTACCACACGGGTCGATGCTCTTCGTCGGTCGGTCGATCGCAGCTTGGGGGCGGCCACCCCAGCCAGCCGTACGATCAGGCTTCTCTACACCATTGGATCGGCTTTTCCCACCCCCTCATCTCGGTCGCGTCCGGCTCGCAGCTCCACCAACCCTCGGTTGCAGCTTCGTCGTCTCATCTCCGTCACGGATGGCTCACCATACAGTGGGGCGTCGCCTGGAGCACCGGGTTTGCAGCACGCGACTATGATCTCGGTGAGCAATGGGTACTCGATACAAGCGTTGTTCAATTATTCGTCCGATTATTTAGGTAATGGGACAGTTAATCGCTACTCGTAGGGTGGCCGACTCGAATAGCACCTACTCATCGCGTTAACTTGCCGGCCGATTAAATGGCTTGTCAGACCAATTAATTAGTTGTCAGGCCGATTAATTGTCGATGGCCCGATATAGAGTGGGCAAACAAAGCCCAATTATTTGGCCTGTAACCCCTCCCAACCCCTCCTGCTCCTAAATAGCTAGGGAATGGCCCTCCTCCCACCCCCTCCTGCTTCTCTCATCCCCACCCGACCTAGATGGCGGTTGGCCAGGTCCTCAACGTGTCACTGCTTCTTCTCCTCCCTCTGTGCGCCACTACCCCCCCTTCTTCCAATGGATGCTGGTTGATGATTTATCTACTGAGAAAAGAAAGCGGCGCATTTTGCTTCATATTTGCAATGTAGATTTTTTTAATAGCATTCAAGTTCTATTGAACAAAATTCTCTATACAAAAACTGCGCCTAGTGAGTTCATAAATCCATCGATTGATTAATCTAGTTAATAAGCCAAATCAGCGATTAGTCGCTACTCCCAAGCCGAGCGAGGAGCTACCAGTTAATGATTTCCTCAACATTGTAGTATGCCTAGCATGAAAAAAACTCCATTAGAACAAGGTATGTGAAAAATAAATACCGATGAGTATACAAACGGTAAAATAGTGGTACCCATCACATAGAGTTGTATATACGCGTACTAAAGGG